CTTCTGGAATCTCAGCAAGTGGAAACCTAACATATCCAGCCTGAGATATTCGCTGAATGCAAGCCCTCTTGGAAGTGGAAGCGGCAACACAACCGGGAGCAATTCTAAAATGAGCGGCGACAGCGTGAAAGTTGGAGACAGAGCATCTGGCCGCCGTAGCCTGGCTGTCCACGACAAACGCAGGCTCAAGGGGGAGGAGGAAGTCAGCCGACGTCGATCCTCGGGCCCGACCGCAACGTCGAGGCCGACATTCAGTGAATGCGACTCACTTGGGGGGAGTATCGAGGAACGAGCCGAGGTTTCCGACATCATCGCACCCAACAAGAAGCGGACAGATTCAGGGGTAGCTGAAGTTAGCGCGGATTCCACAGACGACAGCGACACAGCGACGTGTCGAGAATGCGGAGGTCGAAGCTTCCAGGTGAAGCGACTAGCTAAAGGCAAAACAGTCTTATCCTGCCAAAAGTGCGGAACATTGGCAGAATCATAAACGACTATGGGCTATTGGACAGAGTTGAGGCCCATATTCACGTCCGGCTTGTATATGCACGCAGATTACGAAGCAGAGGGCATGCCGGGCAGGTTGCCTCATCTCAATGGGCGGTTTTACAAGGGCGGAATCTATGCATGGAGTTAGTTGGAGTTTGTTAGAGCGGTTGCATTTGGTCACCTCTATTACAGGAACCTTTTTTTGGTTTACACAAAACAGCTGACAACAACTTGGGAGGCAGCGAATGTTTTCTAGCATACACGGCACAACCATTCCCTAGTGCACCAATTTTGACGAGAAATAAAAAATAAGATGGTTGTTAATTAACAGTATACAACATGCACTGTGACTACTGCAAAGTGAGCAGACAGCCGGGGAAAAGTCTCAATTCTGGTCTAATAGATGTCGTATATCTATCCAACATGAGGTTCTACCAACAGCTTGTAGAGGCTTGGCCGTTGCATCGCATTGCCACGTGTAAGCTTGCAAAATCCGACTTCCTCAACCATTACGTTGTGACTCGTCGATTGGCCGATGCAGGATGACGTGTCTCGTTCATTCTTTCATGCAATTCTCCTTCATGTTTCGCGTATCGTGCAGCCATGTCTTAAAAGTTCTCGGTGGTGGAAAACTAAGAGTACTTGTCTCAGAACCATCGTCATAATACCAATTTACGCGTCCGCCTTGGTGCCCCCTCCAAACCCGCGCGCGTTGCCATAACGCGCCATTTGTCCGCAGATGACGAAGCCCCCCTGGCCATGGGAAAGGGCTGTTTAGTTATCACTCACAGCAGCACCCTTGGCCTTGGCCTTTTCGCAAACCTCCTCTACGGTCTTCTTCAATGCGGGCGGGTTGGCACCAGTGACACTGCTGTCGGTCTTGTCGCCGTTCTCGAAGAAGTAGAAGGTGGGGAGGGAGCGGACGCCGAGCTCCATGGCGAGATCGGGAACGTCATCGGTGTCGAACTTGGCGAAGGCGTAGGTGTTGTCGATGCCGAGGGTGTCGGAGTGCTTGACGAACATGGGCGAGATGGCCTTGCAGGGACCACACCAGGATGCGCTGGCCTGGACGGCGACGAAGGGGGTCTTTTTGATGAGCTCGTCAAACTGATCCTTGGACGTGATGGTGATGACGGGCATTTTGGCGGTGTTTTTTTTAGAAGGAGTTGTAGTGTTGGATGAGGTGATATCGGATGTATTCGGTTGAGGTTGAGGTTGAGGTTTGAACGGAATCGAAGAGTCCTGCTTTGGCTGGAGTGGGGTGGATGTCGTAATATGGCTCTGGTTGAGCTTTTTTTTGTGCTGTCGCTGAAAGCGCCGCACGGAATCGAGAGTGCTCAGACAGGTCCGGTGCTAGCGTGCGATAATTATGTAACCTTAAGTGATTACTCCGTAAGTTATGTGATTTGTGCAATGCAAACTATAGTATAGGATCTTCCTCTTCTGAGACTGTCTTGTGAGGGTGTTTTAGGAGTATCTCGAAACGTTACACTAGGAAACAATAAAAAGAAAACTTCGTTTCAATTATCCAGTGTCTGTTTATATACCCGGTAGCGTAAATATGGATGGCCATGCTTCCCGGGACATGGATGGCGCAATCTGGATGATTTGGAAGATGACAAATGAGCCCAGGTACCATCTGTGCTCGGAATGTCGCAAGCTCCGACCCCATGGGCCGATGTCCAGATACTTAGGAACCGAGGGGCTTAGCTTCTTGGACAATACGTGTGTAAAGTACTTATACCTGAGCATGCACGATGAGCCGACCTGGCCCTGAAAATGATGTGCATGGAGGGGCGTTGCGACCTGGAGGGGCACAGATGACAAAAACAATGATGAAATTACTACGTATGTCAATTGACCAGCAGCTGGTACTGTCTTGCGGAATCAAATGAAGCATCAGATGGGCGGCCAGACAAAAGCCGACATCCTTCTCCCGGGCGGCTGTCGGGTACAGGAAAGCCAGCGCATTACTCCGTACGTCGGTAGCAAATCGCAGAAGACTCCTGATGCGAGGCCAACGCCTTAACTTCATCCGTCACATTGCATTGTGTTACCGAACTTTGACGGACGGATGTCATGTCGGCCGCCGAATCCAGGCTGTAGTATGGAGTACGGAGTACCACCGGAGAGCCGCACCGCCACATACTTACAACTCACGTCAGCCACACGCCACCTGAGGAGGGGCAGACTGCAAAAGTTGGAAATTTTGATGGAGGGGCCAGAAAATTATTCTGCCAACCCGATAGGGCCTTATCGGTCAAAAAAGTGTGCTTTTGTGCTTGACCTTCTTCCATGTCAAGGCTAGTGGTTCGGGACAAGGAAAGGTAACGACCAAGGAATTATAATAATTATTTCTATCGCGCACTTCCAGTGACGCATTCCCAACTCAGACAAGCACAATGTCGAAGCGTGTCGCCAACGAGAATGGGGACGGCCCCCTCAAGGGTGGTGACCGCCCCGAGGCCATGGATGTCGACGACAGAGAAATGGGTGATTTCGAGGACGAATTCGAGGACGAGTTTGAGAGCGAGGACGAGATCTTCGAGGCTGGCGTTGACGGTCGACCTGATGCCGAGCGGGAAGCCGAAGAGAAGGCCGGTAAGAAATTCTCCCAAATCAGGACCATGCAACTCTGCCCAGTGGGCGATTGCGTTGGCCGCCATTCTGCAATTGCGAGAAAATGACTGACATGAAACTTTCCCAGCTGCTATGGACGTTGACCAAGGCACCTTCATTGTCGGACGGAACAAGCTAGAACCTGGCCAGACCCTAGCGCCTGATTTGTCTACCTACGAGATGCTTCACAACCTCAGCACGCCCTGGCCCTGCTTGTCCTTTGATATCGTCCGAGACGCTCTGGGAGACAACCGAAAAGCCTACCCTGCCACCATGTACATGGTCGCTGGCACACAGGCTGAGACAGGAAAAGCCTCTGACAATCAGCTAATGGTCAATAAGTTCAGCGGCCTGAGCAGAATGGAGAAGCAAGACGAGGAGGACTCTGACGACGATGACGACGATGAAGATTCCGATCCCATTCTGGAGAGCAAGGCTATTCCCCTCAACTCTACCACCAACCGTATTCGCGCACATCAGATTCCCAGCAACGAGCCTGGGCGCCCCCCCACGACCTTGACTGCCACCATGACTGAGTCAACTAATGTCTTTATTCACGACGTCACGCCTCATCTAGCCTCGTTTGATAACCCCGGGACTACCATCACGGCTCAGCAGAACAAACCTATTTCCACCATTCGCGCGCACAAGTCCGAGGGCTACGCCGTCGACTGGTCACCTATGATCCCCAGCGGCAAGCTGTTGACCGGCGACAACGACGGTCTCATCTACGTGACGACCCGTACCGACGGCGGCGGCTGGGTCACCGACAACAGGCCGTTCCAGGGCCACACCAGCAGTGTTGAGGAGATCCAGTGGTCACCGTCGGAGCAGTCCGTCTTTGCTTCAGCCTCCAGCGACGGAAGCATTCGCATCTGGGACGTTCGATCAAAGTCCCGAAAGCCGGCCCTCACCGTTCAAGTCTCCAAATATGATGTCAACGTCATGTCCTGGTCCCGACAGACCAGCCACCTGCTCGCCTCTGGAGCCGACGACGGCACCTGGGGTGTCTGGGACCTGCGGCAGTGGAAGGCCAGCACCGACAAGCCCCAGCCCCTTGCCAGCTTCGACTTCCACAAGGAGCAGATCACCAGCCTGGAGTGGCACCCCACCGACGACTCCATCATGGCCGTCGCCGCTGGCGACAGCACCGTCACCCTGTGGGATTTGGCGGTGGAGCTGGATGACGAGGAGAGCAAGGACACTGCCGGGGTCAAGGACGTGCCGCCCCAGCTGCTGTTTGTGCATTATCTCAAGGATGCCAAGGAGGTTCACTGGCACCCCCAGATCACCGGAAGCCTGGTGGCGACCGGCGAGGAGTTTAGCGTATTCCGAACAATTAGCGTATAAGGCGCCGAGAATGACAAGCGACGATGAAAAGGATTTTTTGTATATGTGACATTTCCATGAATAGATATCCCCCTTGAAGACTGGGTAATTGGACCTTGCAATGCTGAGCCATGTTGCACGATTTTCTTCTTCTTCTTTTTTTTTTTTTGGCGGCGGCGGCAGAAGCTTTATTTATTGTCAATACGACTGATAACGAAGCGAGGTTTACTGAAAGAGGAAGGGCAGTACGAGCCGGGACTCGCTCAGGGGTGGCTAACCCTCGAGTGAGTCTTGTCGCGATGAGGAGCTAACTCGTGACGATCTGACTCCGCGCCAGGGTGGTGTGTTGGTGCAACCTTGGTTCAAGACGGCAACGTATTTATGCAGAATATACTTTGAGATGAATGTGTCCAATGCAGCAGAGAAACCATAACCGCACACACACACATCATCAAAGAGCGATAGAAGACAGACACAAAAACCGTACAAGGGTATTCAATTTATACATACAATACACGCTAAACCATACATACGCAACAGCCACGGAAGGAATCCAGTTCCTTCTAATTCTTTTCCAAGGCAGGATCAGGCGTCTCCGAATCCGTGCCCACGTTCGCCTCCGCACCGTGATGCTGCACCCCCGTCACGCCGGGCACAAACTCCCCATTGCCCAAAACCGGGGGGCCGTGGAAATTGCGACGTGCATAAGCAAAGTACCAAGCAATTGCAATAGCAGCAAAGCCAGCAAACACCACGGAGGCATAGTTCATGGTGCTGGGGTCCACGGGCAAGGAGACGGGCATACAGAAGATAACAACGGCAAATACGATCCACACGATGCAGATGATGTTGACGATTGTACCAAACTTTCCAAGGGAGAAGGGCGAGCTCTTTACCAGCTCTCGGCGGCGGACGAGCAGCACCAACACGGGGACACCATATGACATGGACAGACAGATAGTCGCGACGCCGGTGAAGGAGTTGAACGCTGCCGAGGAGCCAAAGTAGATACAGCCGAGGATACAGTCGACCACGGTGGACAGGGCTAGAGCCCACAGCGGCATGCCGAGCGTCTTATTGACGCGGCTCCAGAGGTGGTATCCGGGGATGGCGCCGTCACGAGCAAACGCATAGGTGCAGCGGGATGCGGCCGTCAGGGCACCAATGCCGGCGAACATGAGGATACCGAGAATCAGGAACAACAAGCCAAACCCGCCAGCGGCAGATCCCGTGACTGTCTTGAAGAGCAAACCAATGGGCTGAGCCTGCTGGAGCAAAATGGCCACATCAGGCAGGACAAACAGCAAGGGGATGATGTAGATGACACCCGTGATGCCGGCGGCGACGACGGAGAGCACAATGGCCTTGGGGACCTCTCGTTCGGGGTTCTGGACTTCTTCACACATGGCGGCGACCATGCCGTAGCCGGTCAAGGTGTAGGCAGCTGAAAACCGGCCAAACGGGGGCAAAAGTTAGCAAAAGGCACGTCTTGAAATACAGAGCAAGTCAAAAAAAAAAAATCGACTATGGTTTCCTTTCCCACTTACGCTGCAGCAATCCGATGAAAAACGACCATCCCGCAGGCCACCCACTCGCCGAAGCATCGTAATGGCCAAACACATAGGCGCCCGAGTGGCGCGACGGGGCCATGACCAACAGTGTAACCATGATGATGAGCACACTGGCGGCGGTCCAGTAGATGCAGACCTTGTTGATGAGGTCCAGATACCTCGACCCAAAGGCATTCACGGCGGCACACACCAGCATGACGGCCCAGAAACACAGCACCGTCTGCCACTGGTTGGCGACGTAGTCCGGGTTGAAGATGGAAATGGCGCTGAGAATCAGCTGGGCGCCGGAGAAATTGATGCTCAGGGTGACGGTCCAGTTGCCGACGAGGGTCAGCCAGCCGTCGACGAAGCTGACCATGGGCGCCCAGCGGCGGGTGCTCAGCATGGCGGACCAGTAGTAGACGCCACCGGCGGTGGGAAAGACGGCGCAGATCTCGGCGAGCGAGGCGGCGATGCAGATGGATATCAGGGACACGAGCACCCAGCCCCAGAGGACGGCGACGGACTGGCCGTTGTACAGCGTGATGTAGAGCGTCGTGGAGAGGCCAAAGGGCACGGCCATGATGGCAAACGACAGGCCGAGGATGCTCATCATGCTGAGGTTTCGGGGCAGCTCGCCCTTGTAGCCGAGGCTGGCGAGGGCTGCGTCGGCGGCATCGCTGGCGGATGGGCGACGGGGTTCCATGGTTGAGGCGTGCGATACTGCGGGCTTCATGGCAGTGGGCGAGGAATCGGGACGATAATGATGTTGGTTATTTGTTCGGGCACGGTGGGAGCGCGCGCGCGCGGCTCTCTCTCTATCTCCAAGGATGGAGGTGCACTGCGAAGCCAGCGACGTTCCGAAGAATGGAACTCGAAGAGAGAGAAAGAAAAGAGAGATTGGGGGGGTCGACTGACTCGACTCCTCTTGAATACTACCACGAAAACTCGAGTGTCGCCAAGAGAGACGATGCCCTTATCTTTATGTCTCCCGCGGAGCTCCACAATGCATAATATAATGTCAATCGAAGGGCTCCCCAGCTGTCGAATGCAGATATGGAAGGAATTGACTCACGTGTGGGTGGTGGCTTCTTCCGTCCGGTATCGCGCTTAGTGGACCATGGGCATGCGACTTGACAGGGATACCCAAAAGATGGGGAAGTCTCTCTCGGCTGATGAATGGCTGCAATGAGATTGCGGAGTTGGAGGGTCGACGAGATGCGGGGGAACACAGTCGAGACCTGGGGGAAAGAAACAGTGTCTGTTTCCGCCTGGTGCGTACAATGCAAATTCGTCGACGGAGCTGACCTGTCTGCAGCATGGATCTAGCCGAGCTCAAGGCAGAAACGAGGCAGCCATGATTGTGGCGTCGACAGAGGACCAGGGCCTACGGGGGGAGGCTGACTTTGGCTGAGAGGGCAGAGCGCGGCACGCGACCGACATGAAATTGCGCTGCTGAATCTGCAGTTGCGCAGAACAACGATGACGATGGATGGCAGACAATAAATACGCCGAGCGGAGCGAAATTTCTGGGGTTGATGATGCTTGGCCGGCACTCACGATGAATATTCATCCGTCCACATACACTGGAGGCATCGCCAAGTCGCGAGCAAGCACGAAACTGCTCCGTATGCCATGTGGCAATCCCATCAAAGGTCGGCCAGGTCTGGGGTCTACTAGTAATGGCGTCTGCCACATCGGCCAGTCCAACCATTTAACGGTTCAGACCGCGCCAGACTATTCCCATTCGAATCGCAATGCTTGGATGTGCGCCACAGCACAGCACAAACCACAGTAGCCGCGTACAGTAGCCGCGCTGTGCTTCGAGAAAACGCCAAGCTGGACGAGTGTGCTGTGCGGCGTCGATCGCATTGCCGCTGTGCATTGCATGGTGATGTTGTATAGCGGCGCGGAAACCGCACCGTGGCGCTGCGACTTGGAGATATGGGAGGATGGCGATATTGGCTAAATTAAAAACCCCTCTTCCCGGCGGTACGGAGTACGATAGCCGCGATTGATTGTGGTATTCTGGTCCTCAGATGTGTCAATGGTGGACGCTGTGACGATAGTCTTGCGTTGGTCACGATGCGCAATCATCTTGCTGGCTGGCCTATCAGCCCTGACGAATCTCTATCTCACATATCTTATATCTTGGCACTGCTCATACTGCCGCCCCGTTGCTATCTACGGCTCCATGCATACCCCGGTCGTGCATTTGTGGCCCCCTGGCTCACTGAGATGTCGCCATTGAGGCGTTTCCGCACTGATATCAGGGTGGCGGTTACGGGTGAGCCAGTTGACGACATATTGCTACATATGTAGTACGTGTATCGTTGTTCAAGACGCGTCCGCTATGACTTGGGTTCAACCCCCTAAACATGGTTCTCACTATGATCACGCAGTGTGGCGAGGAGTTGGCCTCGACACAGCAACTACAGGCATTCGATAATATCGTATAGCCATGACATCCAACGCCTAGTCGTATTTCACATGTCTCGTCGTAGAATAAGCAGGCACCATGCTTCACATGGCAAAGGCTCATTGTCCCTTGAAATGCCAGGCACACACCACATTTTGATGAGGTCCATCTCTTGGCTCCAGAACATAGGTTTACATTGAAACCAAACCACACAACAAACCCCTTTTGCTCAAACAGCACCCAGCCACAAGCCATGATGGAAGACGCAATGACGCCAAATATTAATCTGCAAACAAGCCAACACAATCTATCCATCGCTAGCCCTCATGCTCCACCAACTCGGCACCCCCATTTACTCCGGGCTAACCGCCGAGTCCTCGATACCAAACCCAGTGTGACCACTATCCTTCATTTCCCTCGCCATCTGCTTCGACACTTTGACACAGCTCCGCCTCCCGAGAAAATATGCAGTCCATATTCTCCAGCCGAGTGCTGCTCATCTCCGGATAAACAAGTACACAGTCGGCACGGAGCAACAACATTAGCACCCATGAACACCAGATACGCCCCCAGTACATCCTTTCATGATGACCAGCCTCATGGCGACAGTAGTGAAAATCCCACAACCAGTTTGTGCTCACGCAGATAGCCGCGCCTCGAGAGCCAACGCCCCAGGCACGTATACCTGAGGAACATGGTTGACGCACGCCCAAAGGACGTGAACAAGGCCACCGAGACGGAGCCAAAAGCCTCCTGGCGCTCCGTCATCCCCCGCCTGGGACAGCAGATGCCGAGACTGGCCAGCCCATCCTGTCAAGCGTCAGTGACAAGCACGAGCTTGATGCCGCCGACTTGGTTCGTGAACTGCACATCCCCATGCGAGGAGGACTCTGTATCTCGCGTGGGCGCGGCTCGCTTTTGCGCATGACCACAAGCACGTCCTTTAGTCGGCGGCGTCGCGGACGCTTCGAGCTCAAGGGCTCTCTCCGGTGATGGCCGCTCGCTCTTCCACAAGACGCGCCTGTTGCTCGTCCTTGGGGGAGTAGATGACGATGACGCCTCCCGCCCCCGAGAGGACTCGGCATGGCACGACCGTCGAGCGACTCTCGGGCTGCGCTTATTCTCTTCCTTGTCTGCGAGAACTGGAACTGGAACTGGAACTGGTCAATGGGTGCTTGAAGACGACTCCCACGGGCGACACATGAATTACTGGCTGTGGAAACCAGCTTGCATCTGTACACTGCACACGTTCTGCTCGACGCGCACGACTGGTAGCCGTGTTGTCCGAACCGACGGGGATAATGCCCCCCTTGTGCCAGCGTAAAAATTGCTCGACTACGTGTTGCGCTGGCGAAAACCCATGGACCCTCATGCCCGCAGGCTTACTCATCCAAGTCTCAAGCCAGGAGATGCACAGGATCAAAAGATTCACGCAGCACCGCTAGCAACATTTTCGGTCCGTCAAGCCGAAGGATTTTTTTTCATTTTTTTTTTTTTTTTTAAATTGAACTTTACGTCTTTTTACACCTCCAGTGTCATGTCTTTTTTTTTTTCTTGTTTTATGCCAATATGTAAAGGGAAAAAAGAATCGTGGCTGAATATCAAACCGGCCTGTGCTATGCTGCGTATTAAAAAACTAAACTAAACAAAGTCTGGTCGCTTGCCACCGAGAAGCGAGCGTCTGCTAGGCGCGCTGCCATAGGTATCCTGAAACACGTATTCCCCCCGCATAAATTTTTTTGTGAGCATCAGAGTAGGGGGGGAAAAACTGGTGGAAATTTCCAAAACTTTTGGCTATAACAGAAAAAAAAAAATAAGTCTTGGCTCCCGCACCCCTTCTCTTTTTTTTATCCTTCTAGTGGTCTTCCACATCCTCGTCCCGCCCGGGGTACATAATGTCCTGCGTGATGACGGCCTTGATGTTGAAGAACAAGACAAAGAAATACATGCCCAGAAGACAGATGCTGAGGCCGGTGGCAAACCACAAGACGCCGTCGTTGCCCAGCTCGTTGCCGATGGAAATGGTGGCCAGGATGAAGCCCGTGTTGGGGAAGACCATGGCCCACCAGCCGAGGTGGAAGTACTTGGGGACGGACTGGACGACGGCGATGACGGCGATGAAGAACCACCACAGGCTCAGGGACCACAGGAAGATGGCGCTGATGAGGGCCATGGTGCGGATGGTGGTCAGGTCCACGGGCATGCCAATGTGGTTCTGGCTGGCGGTGGCGGGGATGCCCTTAGCCATGCCGATGACGGCGAGGGCCGTGAAGGCCGGCGGCCCCACGCACATGAACAGGCCGGGCCGGTGCTCCCGATTTGGCAGCCCGGCCTGCATCAGCCGGCCGACCATGTGGGCGTACATGAGGACGGCCACGGCGAACCCCAGCCCCTGGCACGACAGCCCGGCCACGACAATGGACATGGCCGCCGCCGCCGGCTGCGTCTCGGCAATGACCGAGGCAATCGTGCCCGACAGCATGATGGGGAAGATGGGCAGGATCCACGTCGGCATCATGGTCTGCAGGCCGAAGCTGTGCGCCGCGAACACGTAGCTGTACTGGCCCACGGCCAGGATCAGCGTCGCCACCACGTACGCCCAGAAGGCGCCCTGCACCGCCCACACCAGGCCGACGTCGTTTTTGGGAATTGCGTACCGGTCCGAGCTGGTGATGAGCGTCGCCGTTGCCAGGAAGAAGGTCGGCACGAAGAAGCCCTCGCGCGGGTGCTTGAGCGACTTGGACATGTCGCCCGAGTGGATGAGGAACCGGGCCACCATGAGCGCCGCGAGCGTCACGTAGATGATGATGTTGACGATGTAGACCACCATGCCGATGGTCTTGAGGCCGGGGAACTGATGAGGCTGCGCAAAGATGAGGAGAGACAGGCCGCCCGTGCTCATGGGCAGCGTGAACCACGCCCAGGTGAAGTGGTGCAGTCGCTGCTTGAACCCGAGCTTGGGTCGGTTGGGGTCGAAGATGTCGACGCCGCCCGCGTGGTCGTGGTGGTCGTGGCCGTGGCCGCCCTTGGCCTCGTCCTGGGCCTCGAGCGTCGGCGTCGACGCCATGCTCCTTGGGTCGGCCTTTTCGTTCAGCGCCCCCGGGTAGCTTCGATCGATGTCGGTTCTCAACGGCGGCAGGTTGCTGAATGCCTCGAGCGAATTATGTCTGGTCAGCCTGCCCTCTTGGTCGGGCCAGGCTTTTGACCGCAGGTCATTGTCCATGGTGAAGGAGACACACTTTTATGTATATATGTATATGTATATTAACAAGAGAAGAACCAGACCG